ACTTCCTTGTAAAGACAAAAAGTCTTTGGTTCCTGGTGGTGTGGGATGACAACCTTGGCTTTCTCTCACTCTTCGCCCTCACTTCTAACTGAGAACCTTCTAACTAGACTAGAAAAATGGTGTCCCCGCCTCTACCTGGCTAAGCCTTCAACTCCACTTCCGATAAAATACAGTGTGAAAAGGCTTCCCAAGGCCAATGCCAATGTGGTCTATTGTACATACCACTGCATATAACCTACACCCACCCACCCACCCCTTTCTTCCTTATTTCTGTAATACATCCCTAAAAATATGTAGGTAGCATCATTTCTAAGTTCTTATATTTCTGAAAAGAACTATACATTAACCTCTTAATGCAGTGATGGTTTAAATTCTATAAAATGTAGGTTCTCAATCAATTTTTCTTGGAAATTTGTGAACAGTGTTTTAACTTAGATGAGAATAGGGCATCAGACTGATTGTTTCTCAGCCCAGAGTAGATAGGTGAACACTGAAGACAGATCTAAATGGCCAAAGAACATATATGCATGACCTATGGACACAGTCAACAGTGTGGTGAAGGCCAGAGGGAAGGGGGTGGGGTCTGCATGGAGCTGGGCGAAGTGAGGGGAAATGCGGACATTGGAATATGCCAACAATAAAGCTAAAAAATCAAGCCAATGAATTTTTTTTCTCCTAAAAAATTAAAGACAGATCTAATTGTTCCTTTTTGTAAATTTCTTAAACTATTTTGTGCCTCAGTTTCTTCACCTATGAAATGAAGAGAATAATAGAATTTGCTTTTTAGACCGTACATGTTAAAGGCGCAGAAAAGTGCTTAACAATAGTAACCACTTGAACTGCTAGCCATTATCCTCAGCATTTGCATGTTTGAAAAGAACTCTATACAACTGATGTCATATTTCAAAAATAGCCTGTCGGAAACAGATTTTTAACCCCAAGCCATGTTACCTAGACTTTTCATATTAATAATAATTGCATCATTCTGATTCACATATGCCAAATAACCATATTCTCTTTTCTCCCAAATTAAACTTGCCTTAGCTTGGCTAATTAACTACTGAAACCTGCTGCCCGCTTATGCAGAATTGAGTTGGGACAAATAGATTTCTGTTTGTTCCAGGGTGACCTGGAGCTGTTAGGCCGTGGCCAGATCTTCAGACACATGCACTTCCTGTCCTTCATTTATCACAGAGGCCAAACAAATGTGACCAATCAGAACTAGGAATCAAATATGACAGTGGTGACACCACTAGGCCACGTTCTAATACTTGCTCCAAACTGCAGTACCATCTCCTCCCTGTCCAGGCCCCGAGCAGCCATTGGCCTTGGAGTGGAATCAGTAAGTAGAAGAACCGAAGCATCTAGTCAAATAAACATTAATCAAAGGTGCAAGAAAATCCCGAGTGCCTTTGAATTAAGCAGGATAATAACGTTTCACTGAGCCACTTTTTTAAACAAAAAGTAAATGACCTATTGTTTCCTGAAATCAGGCTGAGGAAGAAGTGAATGAATTATTTCACATTTGACTAAACCATGAAACATCCATGAACCCCATAGATCTCTCTCTGTTAGAACTCGATGAAATAATATAAAAACATGCCAACACACACACTCAAATAAAAAACTAAAGTCTGAAGCACGGTGGCTTCAAACACCAAGAGCATGGTGAATCAGAGGGATGATTATTGGTCAGAAGAGGTTACTAATTAAGCTCAAGTCAGACGCTGAATTCCCGGATAGAGCCCTGGACTTGCTTTGTTCCTGAGACACGGGCTGCATCCCAAGTCCCAGCTGCCTCGGGAGTGTGTGCTATTGGCCACGAGGGGCGCGTGGCGGACGTGGGCGAAGACTCGTCCAATTCCATCACAATGATGGGAAGCGCTATTCCGAGCACATTCCCTGCAGGCGTGGTGGGGGCTTCATCTGCATTTCAGCTGGGCACTGGGCACGCGTGTCTGCGAGACAGATGCTTAATGACGGTTCTTTGTGATGGTGATAATGAGGAAGGGAAGATACATTTTTAAACCCACACACAGCTTTCCAGAGCAGGTGATTTTGAGAGCGTGAGACTGTGCCCAGCACGGCCAGCGTGTCGAACGTTAGTTCTTGAATCTTTGGGGCTTAACTTATAATGCACGTATTGCAGTTCTGATTTTGAAAAGCATGGATAGTCTTGCTCCAGGATATAAGTTATGGCTAAAATCATCACCAGGTCATCTCAGAGGGATATTTTATGTTTTAAGCCATTAACTATCCTAAAATGTTGATTTTTTTTTTAAGTACAAAGGTATGCCACTAATATATTTTAAATCCATTTAATAGAGATATTCACCTTATACTGCTGATGCAAACCGGTTAGCATACCCATACATCTAGATGAATACAGTCAAGAGCCACATAACGTTTTGTTCAACTAGGAACCAAATAGTAGTATATGTCGTTGGTCCCAAAAGATTATAATGGAGCTAAAAGAATGCCTCCTGCCTCGTGCTGTTGTCGCCATGTTAACATCACAGGCAGCGTGTTACCTCATGTCTGTGATCATGCCCTGCCAGTCGTGTAACAGCACAGCACATACAATGACTGTCAGGCCATACCATCCAGGTTTCTCTAGTGAACCCCGTGGTGCTTGCACAGTGACAAAATCCCCCGACGACGCATTTCTCAGACTGTAGCCCATTGCAAACAGTTCATGACTCTACTTAAATACATGCATGTAGCTCTAACCAGTTTGGCTCAGTGGATAGAGCGTCAACCTGCAGACTGAAGGGTCCCAGGTTCAATTCCGGTTAAGGGCACCTGCCCAGCTGCAGGCTCAATCCCCAGTGTGGGGCATGCAGGAGGCAGCCAATCAATGATTCTCATCATTGATGTTTCTATCTCTCTCTCCCTCTCTGAAATCGACAAAAATATATTTAAAAAATAAAATATAATATTTAAAATACTAAGAAAGTACTCTTAAAAATAAATAAATACATGCATGTATAGCTCTCGTTATATCTGGTTCCGCTGTGCCCGAGTCTGAGTGCACCCTTCTATTTCAGTACTTCCTAATTAGTTTTCCCTCTTCCTCAATAAGTCAACTCCAGGTCAGAGCACAATTACAATTACGCATGATCTCTACGAGGCCTGCCAAGCAGATACAGGGCTCTACCTCGTCTTGTGATTCCCACATTCTTTGCTCCAGGAAGGATCTGCATGAACTCATAACATCTCTCTCAAGCGCATTTAAAACCTATGATTGGCATGTCCTTGTACTTAGAAAATAAACATTGTGGGATGGTTAATGCCTTGAAACATTAGCTCTCCCTTTGACATTACTTGCTGGTGATTTTAGCCGTAACTTGTTGCTGGGAGGTCCTAGAGCAAGACTCTCAGTGCGTTTCACGCTGGTTTACATTTTCATTGTCAAAGCAGGATCCTCCCAGAGGAGAAATGACTGTTTCATGTGGCAAAGCCAAGCACCTGGAGGTCTGCCCTTGCTTTCTGCCCCAATGCACACGCGCATCACAGCGAGGCCCCAGCAGGCGCAGTGACGGGCGGTGACAGTTTGCTCTATAGCTTTTCGCTTTGTAGGCGACAGAAAAATCAGCGCCCGCATGTCAGGGTGTGAGGGACACTCCTGCTTGACAGCCCTGGTCGTGGGACAAACACTTGTGATTCGGTTGTTGACAGCATTCGGGGAAATGCCAGGGTTGCAGTAAATGTAATATCAAATGAGAACTGTGTTTCTTCCTTTTCTTTCTTTTTTAATTTTATTGATTTCAGAGAGGAAGGGAGAGGGAGAGAGAGACCAAAGCATCAATGATGAGAGAGAATCATTGATCAGCTGCCTCTTGCACTCCCCCCATCAGGGATTCAACCACAACCCCGGCATGTGCCCTTGACCGGGATCGAACCTGGGACCCTTCAGCCCACAGGCCGATGCTCCATCCACTGAGCCACACCAGCTAAGGCTGAGAGCTGTGCTTTCCTGCTTTTTCTGTGAGACTGAGGGAGGGTTTTACTTCTGTTTCTGTAGGCGATCCATTACATGTTATAGTGACATTGATTGAATGATTGATGATTTTTATCCAACTATTAATTAAAATGGCTTATAATACATCTCTTTTAAGAAACTGGAGTGAAGTAAAACATAATAAAAATGCTGATCTGTAGAATCTTACCAGGTGAAGATAAGGCAAAGCAATGTAGATATCAAAATCAGAACTTGGTTAAACATTGCAGACTGTGTACGCTGAATGGCTCTGTGCAGATCATTCTAAAGTAAGACAGAGAAGCACATTTTAAATGTTGATAACTATTAAATATTCATGAGCTTCATTACATTTATTACTATGTAGTACGTTTCAGCTATGTTGTGCATACTCAACACATATACTTTCAATGGATACCTCAGCATATTTTCATTTTTGCCTGGATCAAAACATACCTAACTAAATAACAGATGTATCCATTAAAATTGATTTGAAAAGGAATATTTTATGACATAGGAACCTTTCCACTACATACTAGTATATTATAAAAATTCAAATTATAAAGTGGAACATACAATATGATAGAATGTAGGTTATGTGCATATTCATAGAAAATGTTAGGATATAAATTATTACTAGTAATTAGTCTGTGTGGTAGAATTGTAGGTTTTCATAATATTTTACTTTCTAGTTCCCAGTTCATCTCAAAATGTTTTATAGTAAGCTATTAATAGTCTTAAAATAAGTATAGCAGGAGACCACTTCACCAATACAAAATTCCCCAGAGCCATCATTTAATCTTCCTCCGCCACACATTTCACCAGAACTGTTATAAAAACAAAAAGCTAAGCTGAACAGAATTTCACCTCTCAACCCTCACTTTCTTCTGAGCAAACACAAAACCCAAACAAATACAAATTTAGCAACCCGGGAGAGGAAGAGAAGCCAAACATAGAAATACAATGGAAAATGGACCCTAAGTGAATATTGCACAGCACTCCCCTTATTCTCAAGGACTGAGGGGCCATTTCTCTCTTGGTTGGGCTGTTTTTGCCAACAACTAATAACACAGTGTATTAGAGGTTTATTTTTTCCTGGTGCGTGTTTTCCATTAGCAACGTAGGCTAAGTCTCTTTAGTGAAATAGGCTTATGTATTTTATTTTGAACAGCTAAGACAGCTCAATGTTTCTGCAAAACACCCCACGGACCACACTCGCCCACGGTTTGGCCACACATTTTCCTGAGCCTCCAGCGGTCACTAGCGTGGATGTTTAGAGACATTCATCCGGTGACAACTTCTCAAATGTTATCCAAATATTCCTCCGGGCCAAAACTTGGGTCATAATTTCTGTTTAAAAACCATTTAAAAGAAAAACAAGTTTGCCTCTGGAAAAATTTAATTTCACTGTAGTAGAAGTCATCATATTGAGCCCTTATGATGTTTATGCCTTATATAGATAGACACACACACATATTTCTGTAAGTATATGTAATTTTATTGAATTCTCACAACAAGCTTGGTATGTAGACACTTTTATTCCTTTTGAAGATGAAGAAATTGGCAAAGGAATTGAATCTCTTAGCTATCCTATCAGAGTGATTAGCATATAGTGGACTTACATTAACATTTATAGAATGAATGACTAGATAGCAGATGTCTTAGAGTCAGCTCGCTGCTAAGCAGTGAGCTCTGCTGTCAACATATTTTGGTCCTAGTTATACATCAGTCCTGCCCCACAGGGTCAGCCTTGGGCAAAGCGAAACAGGGGCCCACTCTGAACTCGGCATCTTCTTGCTTCTGTTTGTCTCTCCTACTATCCCAGTCACAACCCAACCAAAAGGAAGAAGATGGCTTTACCTGAGGAGCTTCCACCTCCAACATGGCGCCTTTTAAAACCCCACAGATTTTTATGAAATATGAGGCCCAGACAGTTACAGGGACTGAGGCCACGGCCTCCTGGATCCTGAGAACCAGGGCCCCATCGTACACGAACAGGTCACCCAGAAACGTGATTTGTCTTTGGAAAGTGGACCCACTCATTGGACCCATTCACACAGCACTGGGCTTTGGACTGGTGATGTGTAGAAACTCAGAATCGTGGAAACTACGCTCGTTAGCTTAGACACCCATACAACACATCACTTGAATTATTTGATAGCATTTTACCAAAACTCTTTCATTTTTACAAACATCTAAATAAAACTATGTACTAAGATACTGAATTTATTTAAAAGAAGTTTACAAATAAAACGTTGATATTTAATTATAACTAAATAAATCCTAGTCATATGAATTTATACTCGTGGGGGAAAGCAGGATAAAAAGTAGTGAGGCAAAGATGTTGAGTCTTCGTTTCTCTGTTGAATGTGAAAAAGATAAAGAAATGTGATGATCTCAATGAAAGTAGGACATAGTGAAAGGTTGAAAAACATGTCTGCATTTGCATGTCCCTTTCATACTTACAATCATATTTTCCAAGGCGTGTTTGGCAAGCCAGCAGTTCAGAAAGACTGGGACAAAGAGATTCCTTAAGGCAGGCCAGAATATCTGAAAAACAAATCAACACTAAACTTTTATCTCAAAGCAAAGAATCATATCCAGCAGATCGAAAAGAAATGCAACACAGAAAAAAAATGTTATTAAAGACAATTTAGCAACTTGGAACATGTGACAAATACATTAGAAAATGCAAGGAGTAGATATGATTTTTTTTCATTCATTGTCTGATTCTTACTTAGAGAAAAACTCTTTGGGAAATCGTTACAGAAGAAGAAAGAAAATAATAAGCTCTCTGGGTGTCAGATATAATGATGCTAATTCTATCATTACATCTCTTCCTGTGAGAGTCTGTAATAGACATCACCTCTTTCTTCTTTGCAACTTGAGGGGGGAAGTAGGAACAAGAAGAGGAAGCGTCGCCTTTAAAACATTACCCCTCAGTCTCAGGATTCAAACATTCTAAGTGACCTTGGGGAACCACGTTTAATTGAAATGATATTTACTTAGCCATTCAATCTAATTCCAGTCGCTCCTCTAGGTAAATCACCCAGATTAAAGTAATTGTCAGAAGTGAGCAATCGTTAGGCATCTACTCATCCTCATAATTTTCCAAATAAAACTCAAAGTGTGCGGGAGCACAATCCCCACAGACACTGTTGCAGCTCTATCAAATAGGAATTAAAACCAGAGCTTGCAATGCAAACATGCCACTGAATAGGATCTTCAGGAAGTGGGTGCTCCTCCGACTTGGATAAAGAAGCAAATTGCTGACTGGCTGGCTGCTGACAACTTCCTTATTAAAGAGATAATTAGTCAACCCTATGGTTAAACCAGAGATAAGTGTATTCTCGGTACGGGAAATGTTTATAAACAACCGGTTCTACTTGCTTTTAATTCCACCCTACACACAAGAAGTGGAGTAATTTCTAGTTTGTTTCGGCCATATTAGCGCTTGATTAAATGGCACCTCCACACCATATATTTCTAAGAAGCATTTCATTTTGCTGTTATACTAAATCTCAGAAGTTTTTATTTAATTTCACAAGCCGAGTCCCCAACTGATTTTGCTATTTATTTGTTAATACAATGTTTCTAATCAAAACCTAAAATCATTTATCTGAGCTAAATTTTGATGTATATTTTTAGCATTTAGATTTAAAGGCATTACTGAAGTCTAATGACAAAATTATTTTTTTAAGATTCTTTTAGGACTTACCGAGATAACGAAGGGAACCGCATTAATTATTTCCAGGATGAAGGGTATTCGTAAAATCTGCTCCCAGATGTTTCCCTTTCAAGAATAAAGAAGTAAAAATAAAAGTCAGTTACACCAAATCCCATTATAGAGGGCAATGCCAGCATCTCAGAACTTGCCTAGCATTGAGGATGCTTACAGCGGCAGAAGACTGAGTCATTATATAAATGTGTGCAAAGGGGGGGAATGGGGCCATCTGAAGTAGTGTCTACAAGAAAAATAAAGTTAAAAACAGATAAAGAAATGTGATGATCTCAAAAATAAGTAAGTAAATGGGAAAATTTTTTTTTTAAAAAAAGTATAGCAATAACTTTCAGAGATTATTTTTTCTAAATGCAATTGTGCCCTCTCAATTTTGTAGTAAGTTTAAGAAGCAAGCCCGGCCGGTGTGGCTCAATGGTTGAGTGTTGACCTATGAACCAGGAGGTCGCGGTTCTATTCCTAGTCAGGGCATATGCTTGGGTTGCTGGCTCAATCCCCAGTAGAGGGTGTGCAGGAGGCAGCCAATCAATGTTTCTCATCACTAATGTTCTTATCTTTCTCTCCCTCTCCCTTCCTCTCTGAAATCAATTAAAATATTTTTTTAAAAAGAAGCAAAACAAATGTTACAATAATCCTTGAATATTGCCCATAACACATTTGGATCCTATAATAATATTTCATGGAAGAAAAGTTACCAGCAAAAATGAAACAGACTAACAAAACCTACAGAATCAATGAAAAAGTGACTCAATATAACGTTTACTGTAATAAATATATTCACAAACTGTAAAGCATATAAAATAGTTCCTAAACACACCACTTGTTAACAATGTTCATTGGTATTAACATTGCTTTTACACCAAGAAACCACGACGGAAGATTCTACTAGAATCTACTAGAATCTAGATTCTACTCTCCCAACCCACACTGTGCAACGAAGTGAATCAGGCCTGGCCACATAATTCCCAGGGCCCAGTACGAGCTGCTCCTAATATTGTCCCAAAGGTTTTGCACCAGTATTTACCCAAACACCCTACATTCTGGCCACACTTAAATATTAATTATGTTTCCATTTCATATGTGCATTCCTTCCTCTGTGCCTCTCTTAATTCCATAAACCCCACTGGCCTCTCTTTTCACCTTTCCTTAGTGAAATCGCTGATTCAAGGACTTTGCGTAATCGGTCAAGTCCTTCCTTTTCATCCCATGATCTGGCCTCTCTCTCTGAGTCCCCTTAGGACTCCATTTGCACCTCACTAAACAAACAAACAAACAAAAACCTATCATTCTGCCTCTGTATAACTTTTTCCTACCTAGCCCCACTTCTCGATTGTAAATTCACAGAAAACAATCAAACAAATAAAAACCAACGCCCAGCTTGGAGCTCTTCATCAAACAGAGGCTCAGTAAATATTGGTTAAATTATGTTACCCAGACAAAGCTTTGCCAAAAATTAAGAGCATTCATTAATATGATCCCTAATAGACATGCTCTTGCTCCCTCGATGTTTTTTGTACGGATCAGGGAAAGAGGCTGAGAACAATAAAGACCCAGACTGTTGCCTCTGCTTGGCTCCTGTGAGCGTGCGCACAGTGGATCAATTACCCCATAGGAATGAGTGAAGCCACCAAGGAGAACGTAACTATATTACTACAGTGTTTTTGTATCACATACTAGAGAGGCCCGGAATAATTAAAGTGGTTTAAAAAGAGCTTGCTTTATCCCCAAAGTAGGAATTATAAAGAGAGGAAAGCTGGGTAAATATTAATAATGTGTTCTATTAGCAAAAAAAGGCTAATGAAAACAGCTTACCTTATAACTGAGATAACCAAGTAGAATGGTTTCAAATAGACTTATCAAGGCCACTAAGACCTAGAATATAAATTGAACCTTAATGAGAAAATGCAAAAAAATTAAAATAACATACATTCATGACTATAGTACTACACATTATAGGTAATATATATTATTTTCATGATTCTTATCAATTTCAAAGTTAATAAATGTATAAATATGTACATATATGTACATATATTTACATATATAGATATGTATGTGGTATATACATATATGCTATAGGGAGTGTTCTAAGGCTCTTTAGCTCATATAAGGTGGCAGGTGTCCCTAGCACGACAGCTTAGCTTTTGTCCTTTCTAATACTTTTTAATAAACCTTTTCTGACTTATTATCACCAATGGAAATGTGGGGTTAGAGTAGTGAGGCTGGCTGGAGTTTGCATGACATGGAAAGAACAGGTTGTCTGGTGAGTGTTGTGCTAACACACACACGGTCACACACAACTGCCCGCCACAAATAACACCCCCAGAGCCTGCAGGTCATTCACCCAAAACAGCAGCACCTTCAGAAAGGAGCACGAGCTCCCGTGGAAGGATACAGTCCACCCCATCACCCGCCTCAAACAGAGCGAAGCAGCAGCACTGTGAGCACCACACAGAATGGTCCAGCTCAGCCCCTCAGGGCACGATTGGGATCACCAGCCACTTAATTGATTGTTCAGTTCATGGTGATTTGTTGAGATTCTTACATGTTCCAGACACTGAGGACACAGGTAAAAAAGTAAACATGTGCCCAGCCGACCTGGCTCAGTGGTTGAGCATCAACCTATGAACCAGGAGGTCACAGTTCCATTCCCGGTCAGGGCACATGCCCAGGTTGAAGGCTCCATCCCCAGTGTGGGCGTGCAGGAGGCAGCCGATCCATGATTCTCTCTCATCATGGATGTTTCTGTCTCTCCCTCTCCCTCTCCCTTCCTCTCTGAAATCAATAAAAATACAATTTTTTAAAAAGCCAACGTGGAAATTGCCTTTGGGGTGAGCTGTTCAGGGACTGTGTAGCAGGAACAGGGAAAGTTGGTTGGGAAACGGGCGGGGCTGAAGACCCTGGTTGACATGGGTTTTCTCTAGGCCCTCAGCCGCCATCTGATCTCAGGGATGTTCTCAGAACAGAAAGCAGCGCTCAGGCAAACACCAAGAATGGGGCGAAAGGGCGAGTCTAAGATGCGCTCTGCTACTCTCCCGCCCTTGCCCTCTTACCCTCAAGATTCATTAAGCAAGAAAGCAAACCCATTTTTAATATCAACAGTTTCTCTCGAATAGTATTTCTCTGGGAAACAGGGATACATCCAGAAATATAGGAATGAAACAAGATGGCACGTAACCTGTAGGCCCCATAAAGGTAGACTTCTGTTCACCCAAAAGATATGAGACCTGTGAAAAGAATAGTAAGATGTTACTTTTTTTAAATGTGGGAAAGGCATTCAGTTTAAAATTGTGCTTGAGGTTGGAAACATTTAAATAATGCTAGCATAAAGGGACGATAAAATATCAAAATTACCATGAGAAAAGCTTTATACTCTTCGTTTTCTTTTTAATAATAATAATATCCATTTCTATTCCAGGAAATACCCTTTTTAATTTCATTTTCAGGCTCATATTAATAATAAAAGAAAAGCTTAATGGACCTTTATTTAAAGAGTGGTTATGGCAAGGTACAAAAACCTCAAACCTTTTATTAGTCGAATCCTCCACTGAAAATTCACTTAAGGGGTCTTCTATAAACTCGAAGGTTTTGTTAATTTTACAGCTGTTACTATTTAGCAATACAAATTCAACAGTGCTAATAATCCAAATAACTCAGATGATAGAGCACATTAATATTCCACATTTGGATTTATATAAAATATCTAACATCTCACCAAAAACCTGCGACTGAGAATAGCATAGAACATTATACAGGACAAGGAGTGACTGTCCTTAACTCTCTCTTAAAAATCATTTCACCTTTGACGTCAAAAATTATTTATACTCTACCAAGAACACCATGGCTTTACTAAAAGCTAGTTTACCAAGCTAACAGTATTTTCTTTGATCTGGGATGTTGTTTTCATAGGTCTTGAAATATCATAGAGCATTTAAATGTAAAGAAGACCTTGAAGAAAAATATTTGTTTAGACAAGACGATGTCATGTAGACTAAGTTTTGTAATCTTAAAAAAAAGGCCTTTCTACAAATCTCAGCTATATAAATTTCAATATATAGCGAGACTGAAAGTCCTATTCTTCACTCATTTACTAAGCACTAAATTGGATAAATGCATGGAAAGAAATGTATAAATTCTAATAAAAAAAACAACAACTAGTGCCCGGACTGTCCTTTGTAAATTAGATGTATCATGAAGAAAAAAACATATAGGAATGAATGATTTGTGCGTTTTTAGAAAATGTCCAAAACAAATGAGGAGGGGAATCAGCTGGCAGCCAGCCCGTCATTCCAAATGGAGCTTCAATCCCATTGACAAAAGCCTGAGCAGGAACACACCACGCCCGGTGCTATGGTAGGCTCTGGTTTTAAATGCATTCCAGACCCCTAACATACAAGCACGGTTGCGGCTGCATACCTTTGTGTCTCTCACCTGATGTTAAAAACTAAGAGTCACTTTCACAATTTTAAAGTGGGAAGGATGCGTAAGTTTTGGGGTTTTTTTTAAATATATTTTTATTGATTTAAGAGAGGGAGGGAGGGAGGGAGGGGGAGAGAGAGAGAGAGAGAGAGAGAGAGAGAGAGAGAGAGAGAGAGAAACATCAATGATGAGAGAGAATCATTGATTGGCTGCCTCCTTCACACCCCCTACTGGGGGGATCGAGCCCGCCACCCAGGCTTGTGCCCTTGACTGGAATCGAACCCGGGACCCTTCAGTCTGCAGGCCGACGCTCTATCCACTGAGCCACACCAGCCAAGGCCAGTTTTGACACATAGTGAAGAACTGTAAGCACCAGGAGGCAGTGAGTCAATGGTGATGGCTCATCCCGCCATGAAACTCATGAACCCCCTGCTGGGAGTGGCGCCCCCTTTGCCAACCAACGCCCCCAAATCGTTCACTACGAATGGCCTGCACCCCAGTCTCTCCCTCGCGCAACCTCCTACATTAACAACACACTCCCTTTCAGAGCCTTCCGTTGGTTCAGACTTTGGCCACATTTTCATACCAGTTTTGAGCCCGGAAGGGACTTGACAATACAGCCAAGCAGCACTACATAGCTTCAGCTTTATTATGTCTAATTGAATAAATCTCCTGCTGAATTAGCTTCATTATCTTAAAGGAGAGCTGTGCCCAGAAAGGCCATTAACCGGTGCCACCCCCACAGTGGGGACCAAACAGGAACCGTATTCAAGATGGAGCCGTGACTTCTTTGGGTTGTTTGTGAGTTGCAGTAATCTGATTTTTCAAACATTTGTCCTCTATAATTACGGCTAAACATTCTTAGACACGTGGCCGAGAAGTTAATTGTAGGAAACTTCGTTCTCTTCATGTTTTCAAATAATATCATTTCACTCTGCTGCCCTCCCGCCCTGGCCCTTTGACCCTGAGAGAGAATCTTCTCGTGCCTCAATTTGTGATGCTCGGGGCTCCCTGATGTCCATACGTGTTATTTGTAGGTCACCAGGTTTTAAAAACAATGCTGGTATGTTTTCCGAAGGATTCGTAATGTGAAGCATGTTTAGTGCCACCTGGGCAGCCACATGTCATCAATGGAATGCGCACTGATGTCCCCAGGGGGTGTTCTCCAATCGTCTCCATGGTGCAAGGCTATCAGTACAGCTGTTGAGCATAATTCCATCGGCTCAGCCACATTTGCTGACCCACCAAGTCCTAGGCTGAGTATGAGAGCTCCAGAGGCCAATACAACAGGCCGCTGGCCTTCAACCAGCACAGACAGAACAGAGAAATGAATGCAGTTGACCCTTAAGCAGCACTGGTTTGAACTGCATGGGCCCACTTACAGGCGGATTTCTTTCTTTCTTTCATTTTTTTAAATTTATTGATTTTTTTTTTAGCAAGAGGAAGGGAAGAGAGAGGGAGATAGAGAGAGAAACATCAATATGCTTTCCAATTATTTATGCATTCGTTGGTTGATTTCTGTATGTGCCCTGACCGGGTATTGAACCTGAGACCTTGGCTTATGGGGACAAGACCCTAACCCACTGAACTTCTGAGCCAGGGCAGCCAACCAATGATTCTCTCTCATCATTGATGTTTCTATCTCTCTCTCCTTCTCCCCTCCTCTCTCTGAAATCAATAAAAACATATTTTTTAAACAAGAATAAACCAGAAGGGAGTGAAGGCAGAATCGGGGAGAAGGCGGCCTGGTAGGGGGTGGCCCGGAGAAGTGACCGCAGGCTGCATATGTCGCGGTGGCAGAAGCAGCAGAATTTTCTCGGGCTTTTGCAGATGCTGCAGAATGTGAGGCCAAAGGAGAAGCTGAGGAGGACTCGGAGGCTTTGGCCCCACAGCTGTCAGGATGGGGCTGCAGGCGGAGCAGGGTGTGGGTGAGAACCGAGCTGTCATGCGCTGATTTGGGGAGAGCGCAGAAGAAGCCAACCGGAACGTGGCCAATTGAAATGACATCCAAGTAGGGACACTGAATGCGCAGTTAGAATGCGATCAATGAGATACGCAGCCATAAAAAGCAGAAAAAGATCAGTACCAGGTATGGGGCCAGGTGGGTTCTGGAAATATTGGGGGACCATGTTGTAGAGAATAGGGTTGTCTAACCACGATGCTGTACACCTGACACTAATACAAAATAATATTGAATTTTTTAAAAAACACACATATATTTGATTAACTTTTTAAAAAAGTACTGAGGGCTTCTGGGAGGAGTACAAGTGGGAGAAAATTGGGGAAATAGGGTTAAGTGTGTATTGAAGGGAATAAGAGACATGAAACAAGTGGTCCAGTGGCAGAAGGGCAGGAATGCCAGAGCATGCAGTCTTTTCACGGATTGAAAATTCCCTGAGGGGAGGCAATGTTGCTCTCCCGGCTGTGTCTCCTTTTGCAGTCTTACAAACACAAGCTAACCCCCCAACAAAGGTATTCGGAATTACCCACCAGCCTTCAGCAAATAAACTGTTTCCTAAAGAAGCAGCACATCGATGATCACACCATCGAATTGCTCTTGTTAATCATCAACTTTCTCCGGACCCTCTAGCAAATGCGGAATCCTCTTCACTGTCCAATCAAACAGAAGAGTAACCCAGGCATTTCCGTGCATAGCATTTCTATTTTATTTTCATCTTTTTTATTTTATTTTTTATATTTTCTTAGGGCAAAACTCCACAGGAAAATAATAATAATAATTGTACAGAGGTTCGCCATCGGATTGGATTCGCTTTCTGCTTTGAAATTATGTGAAATTTGGGAGGCTGGGCAGGGGGCCCAGGGTGGTAATCGGATCAGAATGATCCATGTGCCTGCACACCCGGCCCCTTCCCTGCTGCTTCCAACGGAGGTAGAGACTAAAGTCCATCACGTACAGCAATGCAATTAATCAAAGCAGCACAATCATGAATAAAAAATAAGTTAAATCGATAAGCCATTTAACTCAAATAAGATCAAGAGCTACACAAGCTAACTGTGCACTTGACATAGTCGTGGATGCTGGAGTGATTCTACTCAAGAGTGCCAGCTAGTCCTAATCAGTTTGGTTCAGTGGATAGAGCATCGGCCTGGGGACTGAAGGGCCCCAGGTTCGATTCCGGTCAAAGGCACATGCCTGGATTGTGGGCTCGATCCCCAGTAGGGGGTGTGCAGGAGGCAGCCAATCAATGATTCCCTCTCATCATTGATGTTTCTCTCTCTCTCCCTCTCCCTTCCTTTCTGATATCAATAAAAATATATTTTTAAAAAGAGTACCAGCTAGACTATCACTGGAAATACCTACACAGCTGGTATACAGTAGAGTAATATATATATAAAGAAAGAACAGAAAGGTGGTGAGTGTTTAAAGAGACAGACCCATATTAAACAATTACTTACAGTGCTTTGATTAGCAGTAAAAAACTTTATAGACAGTTGGCATAAAGTTATTACATCCACAGTGTTATTAGCATTAGAGGAATAGATAAAGAATATAAGCAAAGATGTTTGAAAAGAACGTACAAAGGTGCTATTCATGTACTAAGACAGATCAATACCCAAAACATCCTTGGAAAAAATTAATTCTACGTAACATCCTTTAAAATTATAACACAATTCAAAGTAATCAAAAGACTATTGTCGAGGGTCAGACCGAAATACCTTACCATTCATTTCCTTGTGAGGGGCTTTCCAGCAGCACTCGTATGATGTATAACAAGCAGCTTAATAATTTGAGAGAAAAATTGAACAGGCGTATTCTTAGACCTTCAAACAAACAACAGAAATTGGGTTTTCATTGGAACTTAGTCCAAAAAAAGAGACTAAAAAGAATTATCAAAAACATCATTAAGTACAGCACTTAGATTGTATTTAGAAACTTCAGTGCCAACATCGTCTACACTCTCTGAAGTTCAAGGGAGCTGAATGTTAATTAGCTGAATATGGAAACCAAGATTGTGACTGACAGACGGTTTGAACAGCAAATGACAGCTAACACTATACGAGGAGAGTGGATCTAGTTCTCACAGAAGCCACAAAAACCATGTCCCATAAAGAGTGGTTCATGCCCTGACCGGTTTGGCTCAGTGGATGGAGCATCGGCCTGCGGACTCAAGGGTCCCAGGTTCGATTCCGGTCAAGGGCATGTACCTTGGTTTCGGGCACATCCCCAGTAGGAGGTGTGCAGGAGGCAGCTGATCGATGTTTCTCTCTCATCGATGTTTCTCACTCTCTATCCCTCTCCCTTCCTCTCTGTAAAAAATCAATAAAATATATTTAAATTAAAAAAAAAGAGTGGTTCCGATATGCTTAGTGGTTTAAGCATTTCACACATCCATGAATTTGGGGGTAGGAAATCTAGCTGCTTGCACATTCACGGGATAAGTTATAAATCTTGTACCTTCAGAATACCTTGCAGATTTTAATTATAGGGAAATTATAATCACGTCTATAATTATATATTATACTCTAGCTTAGTAATTAGGAAATTACAGAGAAATCATTATAGAATATTCTGGGAAGTACACACACACCATTTTTGAGTTTGACCAGTTGAAGCTTACTTTTCCCTTTAGGTTAAATATCAGTGACATCTTAATATTTTGGAGGGAGAGGGGATTAAGATTGTCATGTATATACCCTGCAAAACCATATAGATCATAGTTATGCAGCCTGTAATACTTCATGATGATGAAAAAGAGCAATTAAGATTAAGCAAAACATGCTTCAAGTCTGATTAATAGAAGCATTACCTTTCCTGCAATATTCAGGCAATATCTGATTCGTGCCTTATGCATAAAAGGGAGAGAAAGGCCTTCCTATAATTACTAGTGAATACAATCTGGAAATGAAATGTCATTTTCTTACTCGGCTATATGTGAGTGCTTTTGAGGTGACCTTCCTTTCTTTTTAAATTAAATTGATTGGGGTGACATTGGTCGACATAATCATATAGGTTGCAGGTGTGGGTTTCTATGTTCCAGGACCTGTATATCGCATGGGGTGATGTTTCTTAACAGTAGCAGGTTAATGCTTATCAATTGGGCAGTTTTCCCAGGCTTTGCTATCACAATGCTCCATTCATTTAAAAGTCTTTTAAATTGTTCATGAAATCGCCCTGGTTCCATCGACCTGTCTCCCCAGATGACTGCTTAGTCAAAGCTGGCTGCCGGTGAAACAGTCACATTTATCCTCTCGCCTAGAGAGAGAGATTGTTAGTATCAAAACAGAGGAAACCTTTTATTCCGAAGGTGTGGCCTCCATGGAAATTGTCAACCAGCAGATGAGAGAGGCATTCGTTATCATTAGTCTTAACCCCGAATCTAACCTACCATTGAATCTCTCACCAGCGCGTCTTAAACACTGAAATATCCCCTATCTTCAGCATTTGGACAATTGCTCACAACTCAGGATGCTCCTTTTGAACCCTACAGAGGAATGACTTAATGAAGACCACCCCAAGAGGATTCAGGGCTCCAGATTCAGAGAGGGCGAGGTCTACACCCATCTCATAGAGACCAAGCAACGATTGTGGGAAAACTGCATCTTGGCTCATTATATGTGGCTTCAAACAATACATGGTCTGCCCGGCCAGTGTGGCTCAGTGGTTGAGCATCAACCTCTGAACCAGGAGGTCACAGTTCGATTCCCAGTTGGGGCACATGCCCGGGTGGCAACCTGTCCAGTTCAGAGCATGTTTCTTTCTTATCAGGCACCATTGGGAAGCGGTGAGCTCTTCCCCCGTGGAGTCAGACAGCTATTTCCCAGATAGGATCCGTCAGAATCACAGGAGCCTTCTCATAATAAGCTGAGTCCCCTCACAGATAAGCCATGAGGCCCTCTCATTTCAATCCTTTTCCTCAACGTTTCCACTGATCCCGATGGCTCACCTAGAATGCTACCTATGGATGTGGGATTTGGACAATGAAAGGTATGCAAGAAACCTTAACACCCACAGATGGGAAACTCTAGTTTTCTATCATTTAACTGCCTGGCAGACAAGATTCTCAATTGTTTGCCTCTATTTAAATGATATTTTTCAGAAGGATGGCACTGGAACTATTGGAGGTAAATAGATGTACAAACACATAGACAGAGGAAATAAAACAGAGGACTTACTTGATCGCTGATTTTTAATAAAAAATAACTTTAGTCTCTCTTTAAATGTGTTTTCATTCATATAGAATTCAACTTGGACCCTGCGAACAGAAAATAAAAACACAGTTAACCTGAAGATGAATATATAAGGGGTAAAAACAGCATTTGCCGTACTTATATATTTTAAGTAAATCCCTTGCACATGAGAGAAAGATATATATATATATATATATATATATATATATATATATATATATATGGAGAGAGAGAGAGAGAGAGAGAGAGAGAGAGATAGAGAGAGAGAGAGAGGGAGAGGGAGAGGGAGGATTGGATAAAATACTGAATTTTTTGGAGAGAAGCAGTTACTTTTAAAGACATACTTCAGATGTCATTTGTAATTAAGTCGACTATTTTTATTAGTGGATGTAATGAGTGCTGTGGACAATTCAAAACAGCAGTAATGCAAAAAAAGTCATTAATATGTGTCCATGAAATAATTTTGAGTCGGCGTTTTTCCAGTTTTTGTCCGCATCCCAAGAATCAACCGAAGGCCTGAAAATTCAGTTGCAGCAAAACCACGCAGAGGGGCCGCATCAAAGTCTCAAGGGGCGGGGCCTGAAATGTACTTTCTACAAGTAGTTCCTTCACCTTGAAACCACACCACAGGACACCTTACCTTCTTACTTATGTAGGCCCATTTTAAAATATACTCAGAGCAGGGAAGGAGTGGGATGCCAAATAGAATGTGAAAGTCAACACAGATAGAAACCAGGCAAGTCAATGATGATACTGAAGCGTATATATTTAATCCTCTCGAAAATATCAGAAAAATAGCATTTGGGTAATGAATGCATTCACTGTCCCCTAAATTATTTCAATCTGCCTTGCGTGCCCTGGCATAATGAATATTTTCAAAATGTGGAGTGAAGGGAAAAATGATGTTCCGTGCATGCTGACTTGTTAATAATTATCATTGGAAATTTTCTTCGTCTCAAACGCATGTATTATACATTAGGATTGCAAAGCCGGCTAAGAAAGCATTTGAATGTTTATACAAACACGAAGATTTCACTTTTCCTAATATCAGAAAATTTTGATAATGCAACCCATATAAACTAGATAGTTTGATAGTTTGGGGGTTTGGGGCAGGAGCACCCCTGGGAGATAAAACTGGGGGAAAATTAACCTATGAAGATGCTCATGTATTACAGAACTACGTCACTGCTATGTGCTTTATAGTCAAGAATATTGATGAATATTTTAACAACTGTCCCCTATGCCCTAAAAATAAAAGGTTTTTTGTTATCTATTGTTATCTGCTATTCCTTCAAAAAACTGGAAAGCTCTCTAACTCTACCTCTAGCCCTAAAAGAAGACATTTCCATGCATCAACATATTTCCATCATTTCTTAAAATTGATGTGCCTGCACCTTTCCTCTTTCACTCACCTTATATGTTAAGTGAAAAAGGGGAGAAATCAAGACTCTCCTGTTACTATCTCTAGAAAGAAACCCTGGAAATTGCAATACCTTCCAGCAGAACGCTATGTGCCTGCACACCCCCCCCGCCAAACACACACACATACACATACACACACATACACAAACCCACACACTCACAGGCGCTACACGTACACCCACACAGGTACACAGCCCTCCCCCAGTCGCTTGGAAATCCCTCACTGGCTCTGCTTCCCTTGTTTATCAAATAAAAAGGCCGTTCGTTTTAAATACAGTGACTGTAATACAGACATCAAGCTAAATTAGTTCAAATCTGCTGTGGATACAAAAGCAAATTTGAGAGGACATGTGGCTATTACACCAGTCATTCAGCCAAGGCCATGTCAGTTTGCTTCCTTGAATTATCAAATTTATAAGAATCCGAGTCCATTCCTCACATACTAGCTGGCGTTCAGTGCTGGCTCTATAACAAGAGGTGCAGTTTTAAACTAAAGTTGGATTGTCTACAGCCTTGCTCAAAATAACGAGGAATCTGGAAGGCATCCCATCTGAGAAAAAGTTGAAGGAACTGGAAATGTGTAGCCTCAATAGGAAGAGATAGCAGGTGTCTCTAAATATTGAGGTGTCTGGCATTATTGAAACAAGATAACGCATAATGTGACCCTCTATTGTATAGAACAATCAGAGAGAAAGAGAATTTTGAATGAGATTACCCAACTTAGAAAAGGCCAAGACTGTGGAGTAGAGAGCTCTCCATAAATATAAATGAGCAAAAGGCCAGATAACAGCTTGCAAGCAAATGCTCTGTTTCCTGGGGGTAGAGACAATTTTGCATGGTGTGAGGTCTCTCAATAAATAAATTCCAGCCGAAACCGGTTTGGCTCAGTGGATAGAGCGTCGGCCTGCGGACTGAAGGGTCCCGGGTTCGATTCCGGTCAAGGGCATGTACCTGGGTTGTGGGCACATCCCCGGTAGGGGATGTGCAGGAGGCAGCTAATCGATGTTTCTCTCTCATTGATGTTTCTAACTCTCTATCCCTCTCCCTTCCTCTCTGTAAAAAATCAATAAAATATATTAAAAAAAATTTAAAATAAATAAATAAATAAATAAAGAAATTCCAAATTCCCTTTTTTGTTATAATATTCTGGGAAGTAAAACAGTAAATCTAGTGATCCCTCTGAGTTTATCTTCTCTCCGAGGATCATGGGTGACATTAAAGTATAAATCGATACAAATGTGTTTTAAAGTTAAATCTAAAAAAATAAAATATGGAGCAGAACACTTTTGATCCATGTCTTCTGTCGAGGGCAGAAAAATACCCTTTAGGTTTACGATTTATAATATAGAGTGGTGCTTTCTTTTATTTGATCTAATGACCGTTCTTACCAGAATCAAGGCCAGTTAGTGTTAGTGTAATCTTTTGGGACTTTCTCCAGCACCATACAGTTCTCTGGTACTCAGGACTTCAGTACAGAACTCAGTGTTTATTTTTCTCAATTCTGTTCATGATTTTTATTGGTTTTAAATATCCTCTTAATATTCCTTTTCTGAGTATAAATGTGCTTGTCTTCCCTCCATCCTTCTTCCTTCTGACCTCCATATTCCCACATAACTTTATCTGAATTTTTTCATGCCTATTTCTTAGGTTTTTGGGGCAGACAGTCGTGCCATCTGGAACTCTTCTCCAATATTTCTATTTACATTTTATTGTTCTTGTCTTATTACATTGACTAGCACTTTTAAAAGAGAAATATCAACTGTGGTGTTCATACTCATAGGAGAAGACCCCTGTGCCTTCACATTGAAATTGTTGACCCTGGAATTGCAATAAATATTTATATTTTACTAAAAATCATGTTAGAAGTGGATGGATGTTCATTGTTGTCAAAAACCTCTCTTCTCTGTCAAGTTGGTGGGCCTATTGTTGGAGGTGTTTTTCACAAAAAATTTGGTGAATTGCTTTAACAGGTTTTCTATTATGCAATTATGTTTTTCAATTCTGGAATAAGTTGTTTTTGTGAATTAGTCAGGTAATGTACTGCTGGATTCATTTCCTATATGTTAGGAGTTTTTCTTCCAGAGTCATAACTAAGATTGATCCAAGCTATCACCTTTAGATCATTCTAACATCTTCAAGTACGAACTGAAAAATTCTCCTGATGTTTCTACGCTCTGGAACAATTTTGAATACTGTAGAGATTTTTTTTATTCGCCATCATCAATTTGCCCTAACAGTATCAACTGCCTTAATATTAATTTGCTGTGGTTTTTTTCCCCATTTTCCTCTCATTCTCTTGCCCTGGTTACTTGAATTTAATGTAAAAATCATGCAGAGTCTTGTTAAAATGCAGTTTCCTTGCTTCAGCCTTAAAATTCTTGTGCCGTCTCTTTAAAGTAGGCCTTACCATTTTAGCAACAAAGAACATTAATTCTGGCCCAGCTTGTCGATGCATTCTTCTTTTAGAAACACTATTTTGCCTTTTCAATTGCTAATGCCCTGGACACTGTTCAGGAAGCCAAACTTTTGCAGACATTCTCTTCTGGAACTCGTGGCAGATGTAGATCCTTATCAAAGTGTTTCTCTTCTGCGTCTAACAGGTGCTAGTCCCTTCCTACTGCTTCTGACTCCGCAGTATCGGTCCTTGCATGAATTTTGTGACTACACTCAGTCTCCCTGGCCTCAGCAGGTCGGCTCAGTGGATGTATGTAATTTCTACTTTCTCACTATTTATTTGTGAGTGCTTCTCCCTTTGAAAAATCTACATGTGGATGGCAAGCTCCCAGCCCCAGCTCCCAGTCCAATTCCCCTTCCTAAGACCTTCTCACCTGGCGTCGTTTCTGCGTGTTTAAATTGTGGCATCCTCCTGTGCTTGGTGCTCTGGCCTCCATGGATAAGGAGAAAAGGCCACGTCTCTCCACGTGCCATTGCCAAGTTCTCTCACTGTTCTCACCACCACGTTTTAGGTTGGGAGTACAACTTATGTGAATTACACCTTCCCACCCCTTCCTATGAGTGTACCCCTGTTTTCTCTAAGGTCGTTGTGATGTGTCCAACTATCCCCCCCAAGAGATAGTTTGAAGTCCGTAACCCCTGGGACCTTAGTATGTGAGCTTATTTGGGAATAAGGCCATTACAGACATAATTAGTTAAATTCAGATGAGGTCATAGGTTGGGTCCCTAATCCAATAAGAACAGTATCTTTATAAGGACAAATTTTTAAAAAAATATCTATTTTTTTATTGATTTCGGAGAAGAAGGGAGAGGAAGAGGGAGAGAGAGAAACATCAATGATGAGAGAGAATCATGGATTGGCTGCCTCCTGCATGCACCCCACTGGGGATCAAGCAAGAAGAAGGAAATTGGGGCACAGACGCAGACACTGCGGGAAGGTGGTCATGTAAAGACAGAGGGGGAGATCAGACCTACCCAGCCACAGTCTAAGGAATTCCTGGGGCTCCCTGGGGTTTAGCAAATATTTAGGGAAACATTTACTCTACTGTTAATTCACTTTTATAGTGTTGCTATGACTTGGGTAAGGCAACCCTCAACTTCCTTTTATAGAGAAAAAGTGTAATTCAAATGATTTTAGTAACTTGCCCAAATTCATAGCGCTGGTCTCGGGATAAAACTGGGTCATAGG